AAGAGAGGGGTTCTGGGTGCTGTACCGGGATGCAGGACCACTGTGCAAGCAGCACTGGGCAGGATGCAGCCCCTGGAGAGACCAGCTCGGGGCATGGGGCAGCACCAGTCCCACTGCTGGGACAGCAGCCTGTGGTGGCTTGCTTGGGCAAAGCTTTTTGGGGCTTGGGGGGCTGGGGGGACCCACAGGGTCAGCTGAGGTGAAGCTCGGGGTCGGGCTCAGGGGCTCTGCCGGGCGGCGGGGGCGGCGCACGGAGCTGCAGAGAGGGAGAGGAGAGGGAAAGGGAGTGGGAGAGAAGTGGTGCCAACACACTGGGGCCACTCATCCCCCTTCAGACCCCCCAAAACACACGGGTGGCTCCGTGACAGAAGGGCTGGGGCAGGCTTTGGGGTCACAGCATCCCTGTGAAGGGACTTACCGGCCGCAGACGCGTGGCTGCCAGGTCTGGAGAACTCTGCCCGCTGCCCGTGCCATCCTGCCGGCAACCTGGGAGGGCCCAGCAGCTCAGCCCGGCTTTTGGAGCTCCCCCAGCCCCTTCCCAGTTTTCCCAGCACTCACCTCCCAGTGCTGTCTCAGGAGCAGGGCTGGGGACCAGGCTGGCCCCGGGTGCCAGGCCAGGAGGGGAGAAGGGCGGAGGGGACGGCGACGGCAGCTCCTGGGAAGACACAGCCAAGAGGGATGGCGATGGTGGGAAGGGGATCTCCACCTTGGCAGTCATGGAAGATGAGGGGTTGACCATGCAGGGGTGACACAACCCCACTCCTGCCACCAACCTGCCCGGCTGCCTCCCGGGCCCCGGTGAGCTCCTCCACCACCAAGGAGGGGAAGACGCCGACGCGGCCGTCGAAGTCGCCGGTCCAGAAGCCATCGTCCACCTCACCGGCGGCACGGGGCAGCACCCGGATGATGGCCCCCTCAGGGAAACTCAGCTCCTCGGGGCTCTGCCCCTCGTAGTCATACAGGGCTCGCACCAGCCAGGCTGTGGGGAGGGTGGGGAGGGGGCTCAGCACCCTCTGGATCCCATCCCCCTCCCTGGGGTGGGGGTGATGCCCAGCACCCACCTCCAGGCTCCAGCACCAGTTCTGCAGCCATGATGCTGGAGAGCTGGCGCTGCAAGGCAGAGGGTCCTGGGGGGCCGAGCCCAGCCCCCGAATCGCACCCCAGGGACAGCAGGTACTTTTCAGGGACGTAGCCGACCTGCCCTGCCTTGTTCCGAGCCTGAGGAGGCAAAAACCACATGAACATCCCAGGCTCCGGAGCGGGGTTGGCCTGGGGACCTCCAAAAGGTGTCCCCCTGTATGGAGGGGGGCTCAGCCTGCTCCCACCTTCACCCACTCCTCTGCATCCCCATCCTCGATGATCTCCAGCTCCTCGCCCTGGCTGATGGACAGCTCGTCCGCCTGGCAGCCCTGCAGGAGATGGGGACAAAGTGGCAGAGAGGCTGAGGTGCCATCCCTGGGCAGGCAGGGTGAGGGCCAGGCAGGCAGGGCCATACCTGGTAGCCAAAGATCACCCGGCAGGTGTAGGGGTAGGTGCGAGCAGCAGGCCCAGGCTCATCGTCCTCATCCGGCTCATCACTGTCCTCGTAGTCATCGAACTCGGCCGGGTCCAGCCCCGTGGGGGTCTCCTCACCTGTCCCCACCATGGTGGCCCCGGCCAGCCAGGCATCCACGTTCAGCCCTGCTGCCCGCAGCAGTGCCAGCCGTGCCTCGGCCTTCACTCGGCTCACCTGGGGACACCACACACTGTCACAGTCCCCAGGATACCTCTGCAGGTGTCCCAACCCTGTCCCCAGCATGGTGGCATCCCCAGTGCCACACCCCAAGTGCATCATCCCAGCCAGCACCCCTCCCTGTCCCTACATCCCCCACTCTGGGGGTGACAGACCTCGAAGCCACCCCAAGCTCCCCGACTGCGGGACTCACCTCTGCCTTCCGGATATTTTCCCTTGCTTCTTCCATCTGCCGCTCCACGGCCGCCGCTTCTGCCTCCAGCCCCTGCTGCCGCCTGGCCTCCAGCCTCTGCAGCACCTGGCCGGACACCCACAGCTCAGGGAGTGCTGGCAACCAGTGAGGGGCTGGAAAAAGCCCGTCCCTGAGCCCCCGGGTGCTCCGTGGGGCAGGACAACACCCACCTCCTCGCTGTGCGCCCTGTTCTTGTGGTCCCGGGCCACCCGCGTGGCCCAGCGCCGTGCCTCCTTCTCCAGGCTGGCCCCGTCGTCTGCTGGTGGCATCAGGCACACCTGGGCAAGGACACGGGGGTGACAAAGGGGTGGCTGTGCAGACCCCACCTTGCTGTAATGACCCCCTCCACTTACCTCCTCCACCCCGGAGAGCTGGAAGCGCTGCTCAGGCGCCAGGGAGAAGGCGGGGTGGTCGTGCAGGAAGAGGAGGAGGTCCTGCTCCCGGCACACCTGCAGCAGGGGAGAGGCATGGGGCAGAGGGCTCAGCTGTGCCCTCCTGTCCCAGCCAGCTCGTGGGACAGTGCTGTTACCCGTGCAGACGCCTCCACAACGCCCTGGAACCAGTCCCGGGTGGCCCGGCAGGTCTCCACCTCTGTCCGGCTGGCGGCCGACAAGTGCTCCCGGAGCCGCTCGTAGAGGTCCCCGTCCAGTGCCTGGGGGAAAGCAGGTGGGAACCCCCCAGAACTGCCACATGGAGCATCCTTGATCCCCCCCAGGGCAGCCAGCCCTGGCCTTGTGCCCTCCCTGCTGGATCCTGGGGATGGGGCACGGGGGTCCTACCTGCATAGCAGCGGGCAGCTCCACACGCTGGTAATGCTCCAGGTGGGCAGAGGCAGACACCAGGGCAAAGCTGTACTCGTTCTGCA